TTTGGGGAGGATGGGCGGCTCAAGGACATCTGGATGTTCAGGTGGGGGGGGGGCGCGGGGAGGGCACAGTGTGTACGTGTGAGTGCATGTGTATACGTGCATGGGGGGAGGGGAGTGTGTATGTGTGAGTGCACGCGTGCATGCGTGCATGTGTGCGTGCGTGCTGGGCTGCTGGGGTGCTGGGGTGCTGGGGTGATGGCGTGTGGGAGCATGCCGCATGTGTATTTTGGTGTGTGTGGAGAGTGGGGGATGGATGGCATGTGACCTGATTGAATGTGAGGGGTTGGGCTTACTGCACTGCGGAATTCTTGGGGCACTGCCCTGGTTTGAAGTCGACCTGGTAGCTTGCCGTCTCGACTCCAAACAAGGGTCGTGTGCCCTGGGTCGAGGGGCGCGACGATTCCATACGTGCCACCGGTTTCTGAAGCAGGAGCAAGGGTGTGTTCGTATGTGAGAGTAAGGCGAGGGGCAAATTCGCTCACAACAGGGTGGTGCAGGGTCAGCATCGTGATCCTTGCTTGCAATGCAGCACTGGTTGCTGCATTGCACCTCCTCCCACCTTGCAATGCAACCATCATTGCTCAAATCTGCTCCTCCCCTTTGCACCCCGAAAAACCACCCAGGGACCCGATGGACGTGGAGAAGGCGATGCTGGAGGGCCAGAGCCGCCGCTGAACCCCTTATAAAACGGGTGGCCCCTTGGCGTGACAGCTGGAGAATCGTCACAAGAGCGCTGGCCCCAGAAAAAGAGCTCGGGCAAGAGGGTGTCTGCAAGAGTGCCGTGTGCACGTACGACGCAATACGCCTGCCCGTGCGCTGGCGTGGTTGCACGCAGCAGCTGGAAGTAATGCGTGCAAGAGTCGCGTGGCTGCACAGCGCCCCCTCTTTTGGGGGCTGGTTGTGGGCCTGTTTTGAAGTTGCACAGTCGGGTTCCATTAACCTTCTTGGCGCGGCACGATGCGTCCAAGTCATGGGCACTTGTGCAGCGGTACAAGCAAAGTGGAGATGAGGTGTCGTGCTGTTGTGAGCATCTTTGGAGCAGGCGGAGCTGCACATACCGCCGGCCCCCTCTTGAGTTTGTTTGTTGTGAGGGGAGTTGAGATATCCGGGGCCCCTGGCTGTCCGGGCATGCAGCTGTGTCAGAATCGTGCGCAACACAAGCTTGCCCTCATTTTATGATTCCGCCGGACTCCGGTCTGCCAGGTCTGGGTTCTTCCATTTTTGCCAATAAACCGTCTGGTGAGTGTACCCAGTGTGGGTTGCTCTGTCCTCTTCCTCAAAGGACACATGCCTGTTTGTTTTGTACGCGTGGCCAGGGCGGCGTGCCCCGGTGCTGTGCCGCACGCCCGCGCCTGAACATAATCCCCCAACCTCTTCGCCGGGCGGCGGCCCTTAAATGAATGCCCAGCTGCAGCGCATCCTCCTCACTCCCCTGTGCTGGTCGCTTTCGAGTTGTGGGCATTCAATGTGTAACGCAGCAGTGAGGCGGATGGCATGGCCTCTTAGAATCCTTGTTGCTCCCTGACACACTTGGCATGGGCCGTTTCTTCGTGGCCGGCAGCTGGGAGCACATGGCAACAGTCCCAAAACAGATATGTGATACTTTACCAAGCATGCCTTCGGCTGGCGCTTGTGGGCGTGAATATGTGGCCAGGTCATGACATGCCTCGCGCGCTCGCTTGATTGACATCGCAGCTCGGCGTCCGCGCGCTGCTCAGGGTGTGCCACCCGCATCAGCCCCTCGCAGCTTGGGCCGTATCATACACGCGCCCACCCACTCAGCCGGCCGCACGCTACCCAGCCTTTGACGTGCCGGCCCCGATTCTGGCTGTGACACTCGTCTGTCCAACCAAACCCAACCCCCCACTGCTTGCACCCAGGGCTTTCCTCTGTCCGAATGGCTCTAGCCTGGGTGCTGACAAAGCGTTATGTAATGTACAGTAGCCCCTGCAACCCCTGTTCGAGCTCGCCAGGTAGGTCCGGCGTTGTTACACCCACGGCATGGCCGAGCACGCCCGCCGCCGGCGCAATCGCGCGCGCCGCCGCGAGCGCGGCCCCGCCTGTGCGGGCCGCGCCGCCAAGCGCGCGGCCGCGCCGCTGCCGCGACCCTCCCGGAGCCGCTGCGTTGGGCCATAGGGGAAGAGGGGGGCGCATGTTTATGCATTCGCTGCAGAGTAGGTGCGTGATCTGGGAACAACCGGCCAAATAGTTGGGCAAGGGCCCACACACCTGATGTTAAGTTTATATGGTATCCTGCAAGAGAGCACATTTGTACATCACCATTGCTTCGCAAGCAGGCATACGTGTTCCAAGCCTCCACACCTCCCAAACAGACGGACACACACACACACTCACACACACACACACACATGCGCGCGCACTCTGGCTCCACCCCCAACACCGCACCTGCTGCAAAACAAGGCCGCCCCTGGTCTAGGCGGACTTGTTCTTCTTGATGCCGCGGATCTTCTTGGTCCTGTTCTTGCGCTCCTTGAGCTGCTTGCGCGACCGCTCCACCTTCTTGGCCAGGCCCTGCCTGCGGGGTTGGAAGATGGGGGGCGGTGCGCGTGTGAATGCGAGTGTGTCATGTACATATGTGTGTGTGTGTGTGTGTGTGTGTGTGTGTGTGTGTGTGCCTGCGTGTGTCTGTCTGGGCGTGCATGTGCGTGTGTGAGTAAGTGTAGGTGTGCGGAGATGAAGTGTGAGCATGGGGTCAGAAATTTGAGCTGGCAACTTGAGTCAGAGGGTGGAGAGAGGGTTGCAGGGAGGCTTCAGTAACAGCACTGAATCACTCCAAAGCCAGGCGAAGGCTGTTACTTGCTGCCGCGCAAGAAGCTCCAGGCGGTGTGCAGCCGCCACTGCCTGCAAGCTGTACGGGCTGCCGCTGCTGCTGATGCGTTGCAAACGCAGCAGGCGCTGCCAGCGCCGCCATGGCTACTGCTGCCGCCGCCGCTGCTGCCGTGCACTCCTGGACCTTGCTGACGCGGCTGCTGCAACTACGTGTCGGACAAGCGCGGCCGGCTGACTTGTCCAGGGGCCACCCGGCCTCCCTGGTGAGCGGCAGCAGCTGTTGCCCATTCTATACAGCATAACGTTTGCTCATCAGTGCCCAGCACGACTGGGGCCTTGCCAGGGCATGGCTGTTCGCATGCGCTGCGGGCGTGCTCCATGAAAAGCCTGCCGCCAGCTCAGCCACAGGCCTCGCGGTCTCCAGCAGCGTGGCACAACCTCTGAGCTGTACAATGCCAGTGCAACCGCTGTCGCCCCGGCTGTCACTGTCACTGCCGCTGCTGCTGCTGCTGCTGCTGCTGCTGCTGCTGCTGCTGCGGCTGCCGCTGCTGCTGCCGTTGCTGCTGCCGCTGCTGCTGCTACGCGGCTGTGCCGCAGCCGCTGCTGGCTCACCATCAACCCTTCACCCGGCCTGCGATTGCCAGCCTCGCGAACTTCCCACACAGCCTTCCGTCCGCCCCTGCTTCGTCAGAATGCATCCCAATGGCCAGCCACCGCCACCCGGCCATGCCGCCCCACCTCTCGCCCGCTCCCTGGCAAGCTGAAAGGCCGCCCCGCCAGGGCCGCTGACGACCCCGCTGCTCCCCAAAGATGCGGGCCTCCTCCAAGCCCCCCGGCTGCGTCCGCCCCGCACCTGACGAGGCGGTGCTTGGGCTCAAACTTCTCCGCCGCCTTCAGGTTGTCGTAGATCAGGCCAAACCCGGTGCTCTTGCCGCCGCCAAACTGGGTCCTGAACCCGAACACGAAGATCGTGTTTGACTCGCCGACGTTGTACAGGCTGGCCAGCTTGTCCTTGATCTCGGACTTGCTGACCGTCGCGCGCCCGGGGTGCAGCACGTCGACCACGAACTGGCGGCGCGCCAGCAGGCGGTTGGTCATGAACTTGCGGGTGCGGAGCGTGACCGACATGGCTGCCGGCTAGGGGGGCCCGGGAGCCTGGCGCGGCGCGGGCGGGTTTGGGCGGGCGGGCAGGGGGCGGGGTGAGGGCGGTGCGGCTGCAGCGTTGTGGGCCCATCTGTATGATGTGCGCAGCCAACTACAGAAGGCTGCCGCAGGCTAGGAAGGCTGCGCGACTCGGCTGCGGCGAGAGCGGCCGGCGCGCCGCTGGTGGAGCAACCCCTCGCTTGAGCTTCCGTTGTCCCGACTGCTAATTTTCTGTGCTATGATGTCGGAGACACTCCTATTGAGGTTTCCATGACTGCTGCCGCTCATGCTGGTGGACGAGCAGCACTGTGTCAGTGCAGCAAGTGCCACTGGAGGCACTAACGCCTCCCTCCAGCGCATGCTACTTAATCGATAACCACTTTTTAACGCTGTGGAAAAGCCCAACGCCCAAAGGCTCCTGCTTCGGTCGAAGGCTGCCGCCTCCATAGCGCGCTGCCCGAAGCAGTGTCCGCGCACCTTGTGCACCAACAGTTCAACGTGGAAAAGGGCCATATGGCAGCGTGCCTTGCAGCATGAGCGCCACGACACGGAAGGTGGCCAGCCGCTGGTTGCCGCAGCACGAGCAGCAGGCGTGCAGGCGGGCAAGGTGTGTTCAGTGCTGGTTCAGAGGGCGGCGCAATCGAGCATGTTGCCGTGGGGGCGACGGCAGATGTCAGAGGCGGGCTTTCCCTTGCCACGAGCTTGCAGTCAATTGAGCAGTCATGGCCAAATCGCGTGTCTGTTCGACACGCCATGTTGCTGCCATGGTTCACTGCGCGTTGCCACATTAAAAACAAAGGCCATCCCGCTGGGGTTGCGCCACAGGGTCTGCCGTGGCACAGCAGTTTAAATTAGATCTCTCGCGCGGGCCAACTGCCATAGCATGATGCCAAGCTCGGCCGCTTGCAGGCACAGATCCGTGCCTTTTAACACGGGTGTGTGTTGCTGATGTGTGCCCTTGTTTGTATTGCGACTGATGCATTTGCTCCCTGTCATCTTTGAGGCCTTCGCTTATGGCTGTCGTGTCCAAGAAGCGGTGCTGCACATGTGCCAAGTGCAGCCATGCATTTGCCCAATCTCCTCATTGCGACCTGTGTAAGAAATGTGTGCCTGAGTCCAACTGTTTGAGCACATCTTGAACCAACCGGCTCCTCAAAACAACCTTCCACCAGCATGCTGGTGGTACCTGGTGCCCCGGCTGGGGAGGGGTGGGTGGACCACCCCCCCAGGGCTGGCGGTCTGTGGTCAGCGGCAAAGGGGCATGCAAGACGCAAGACCACGGCGTTGCTGCTGAACGAAGTGTTATAAGAGCGTTACAATTTACGAGCTTAGCACCCGCTCACACTGCTAGGAACGCTGTCCGGTCGTCCCAGCCGCGGGAAAACGGTCTCTCTCCCGCCACATACAGCCACGTCAAAGCGCTAGATCCTTCAGTGGTCGCATCTTCAAGTCACAAACGTTTTCTTACAGTTGCGAAACCAAAAGCAGCACGCAGCATGAGCGCTTAGTGCCCACCAGTGCAGCAACTTGAGATGGCTCTCCAGGGGAGCTGTGGGCTGGAGTGGAGGCTTATGAGACAACAACAAAGGTGCGAAGGTCGTGTGGGGTGTCGAAGTCTACACGAACGTGGACGACCAGCGACCCTGTGGCTCGGCAAGCCACCACGGCTCCAGAAACTCGCTCGACCACCCCACACCAACTCTTTGAACGCTTGTAAACAGGCACGACGCCGGCGGATCGCTCAAGTCGAGCTCTGTGCCGCGGCGCGCCGGCAGGACCACACACCAGGTCAGTGCATGATCACTGCAGCGTGTGTGGTGTGACTTTCAGCCCGCTCGCCAGCAGCCCCGCCTCCGCCCTGCCCGCTTGCATGGACACCACAGCTTGCTGTGCTGGCGTCCACCAAAAGATCGGCGGCTTCCGGGGTGCATGGAGGTGCCCGCAACCACGATGTTAGCGCCGGGCGTTGGAGGCGTGCATGCATGTGCTGTCCATGACACACCGCCAAGGCAACACATGCATGACCCTCTCCCATGCTCACCACTCAGGTCACCCAGGTCAAGGCGGTGACCACCACCGCTTTTTTGGGGCCTGGCGGCAGTGGCGGCTACCAGCGGGCGCTTGTGCGGCCGCCCCCGCCGCCCCCGCTGCCACAAGCGCCCCAGCCCGCTCTTACGCCGGCCCCGCTGGCTGCGGAGGAAGCGGGCGCCCCGTACGCGCACCAGCACCCGCGCCTGTACCAGCAGCAGCAGCAGCGGGCACAGCGGACGCAGGCGGCTGAGGCGCAGGCCTTGCCATGGGGCCGCGCCCTCAATGGCAGCAGCGGCCCAGCTCGGGGCGTGGTACACGCGGCAACCCCCAACACACAGCAGCGGCCGGCGGCCGCTGCAGCAGAGGCGCGGCCGTTTGCCGAGGCGCTCCAGCAGTGCACCAGCTGGCAGGGCGTGGCCCAGCTCTGGGCCGCGCAGCAGCAGCGACAGCAGCAGCAGCAGCAGCAGCAGCAGCAGCAGCAGCAGCAGCAGCAGCAGCAGCAGCGAGGGGCAGCACCTGGTGTAGCCGGCGCCGCCGCCACCCTCGCGCCAGAGGCGCTGCTGGCAGCCGTCGAGAAGCTGTCCTCTGTGGTGTCCCCCCGCGCACTGGGCACCCGGGCGGCGCAGCAGCTGCGCGCGCTGCTCGGGGAGTTGGCTGAGGGCGCGCGTCCGGGGCTGCCCGGGCTGCCCCACTCACTCGTGCCGCGGCTGCTGGCGGGCCTGACGAAGCTCCAATACGCAGCCGAGCCAGGCTGGGTGCGGGCTGTCATGCAGCACGCCGCCACAGGGCTGGGCAGCTACGGCCCCGGGGACTTGGCACTCCTCATCTCCTACGCGGCTCGCGCAAGCACGGCAGCGTGGGCGGCGGCCGCGTCGCAGCCGGCGGCAATGGCGCCCCCGCCGCCGCTGGCGGGCGGCCCTGCGGCCGGTGGGCCCGTGACGTTCGCGTGGGGCCGCCCTTCAGTGCAGCGGCAGCAGCAGCGGCAGCAGCAGCAGCAGCAGCAGCAGCAGCAGCAGCAGCAGCAGCAAAGGGCGCAGGCGCAGCAGCAACAGCCGCGGCCGGCGGTCATCCTGACCAAGGCGTGGCTTGACCATTTCATGGCCACATTTGAGCGCCACCTCGCCGCGCCGCCGCCGCCCCCGGCGCGCAGCACGGGCGGCAGCGCCGCGAGCTCGCCCACGGCCTCCTTGGATCACGGCGACAGCGCGCCTCACGAGCACAGGCAGGCGGCCGTGCGCGACTCCCAGCGGCAGCAGCAGCAGCAGGCGCAGGCGCTCGCGCCGCAGCACATGGACGCGGTCCTGTCTGCGCTCGTCGCGCTGCGCGCAGCTCCCGACCCCTCGTGGCTCTACGTCTTCTGCCGGCAGCTGGGGGGCCAGCTCGCCGCCCGCCCGGTGCCCGCGCCCACGCTGATCTCCATTGCATCCAGCCTGGCGGCCCTAAACTACCGCATGCCCGACCACCTGTCCAACCACTTCGAGCGCGCCGTGACCGCGGCGCTGCCGACGCTCGCGCCGCGCGACCTCCTAGCCGCGCTCCGCGCGCTGGGCGCGCTGCGGGCCCGCCCGTCCGACGCGTGGATCGGCGCGCTGTTCCGGCGCCTGCTGCTCTCCAGCTGCCACGTCAGCGCGCCGTCGGTCGCGGCCCTGCTCGCGACCGCGGCGGCGCTCGGCTACCAGCTGCAGCACGACTGGGTCGAACTGCTGCTCATGCAGGCGCGCGGCGCGCTCGGCGGGCTGTCGCCGCACGAGCACGTGGGGCTAATTGACGCGCTCGCCGCGCAGCGCTACCGCCCGGGGCCCGGCTTCATGGAGGAGTTCATGCAGCCGCTTGGCGCGCACCTGCCGCGCCTCGGCTTCGGCCAGCTCGCGGCGCTGCTGGCGGGCCTCGCGGCGGCGGCCTACAAGCCGCCGCCCCAGTGGATGCGCGCGTGCATGGTGGCGGCCGTGTCGGCGCCGGCGGGCGCGGACGACGCGCAGCAGCTGCTGCGCATGCTGGGGGCACTGAAGCGCATGCAGTACACGCCGACCGGCGACATCCTGGCGGGGCTCGAGTCCCGCGTCGCGGCCGCGGCGGCTGGCGCCGACCACCGCGCGACGCAGCAGCTGCGCGCGGCGCTCGCGGCGCTCGAGTACATCCCGCAGACCGCGGCCGCCGCGGCTGCTGCTGCTGCGGCGCCGGCGGCTGTTGGGCATGACGAGGAGGGCACTGCCAGGGCGGCGCCCGCTGGGCTTCCAGAGGCGGCCACCGAGTTTGCCGCGCAGGGGGCGTCAGAGGACAGCCTGCTGGACTCAGTGGACGAGGAGGATGAGGGGGTTGGCGGGGACTGGGAGGCGCGGGGTGCAACTGACGTGCGACGCGGGGGCCGCGGGCAGGGCGGGCGCGGCCTGTGGCAGGGGGCGGACCCGCGGGGTGTTGAGGAGATGCCCGCGGCGGCGGCCGAGGGCGGCTTGCGCGCGGGCCAGGCCCCGGCGCAACCGCTGGAGGTCTGGTCGTGAGCGCTGGCCCCCCATGCTGCTTGCGCGCCGGTCGGCCCGCCTCCTGTGGCCGCCCCGCCTTGGTCGCGCGGCTCGGCCCCCTGTCGCGCGTCGCGCGCCCCCCCTGTACACCAGCCCCCTCTTGCCTGCACCTGAGCAGACGGCCTTTTGGGATGCCCTGGCTGCCCCTGCTGTGTCCCTGTGCACCCCCGCCTGCGCCTGTGCGTGCGTGTTTGATTGGCCGGCGCCCCCTTGGGGCGCCCGCCTCTCCAGCTACAAACTTGCGTGCCGCGCCGCGCGGCATTCGCCGCGGCCCCCGTGTGTCTTTGCGCCGCCGCCTGCGCGCGCCCGAGCGAGCGAGCGAGCGAGCGAATCTGTTGAGACGAGCTTATGTGGTGTTGCGACATACGCCTTGCATGCATGGCGGTGCGTTGAGCTTTTAAGAGTGTTTGTGTGCGCGTGTGTCGAAGCGCGTTTGCACGCGCTGGTGCATGCGCGCAGCCGTTCACGATGGTGCAGCAGCTGTGTACAACACCCACAACACAACACAAGGGAAGAAACAACACACACAACAAAGGAAGTCGTCCGCTGCTGCATCTATCGCGCATCGCTGCGCCGAGCGAGAGGCGCCGCGCCATTTTCGGAGGGCCGGCCGCCGCAGGTTGCGGGGCCGCCGGCCCGGGCACTGCACTCTGTTTGCTGTCGCGGCGCATGTGTATGTGTTGCTCGCGAGTGTGCTGCCGCTGTGTAGTCATCGGTCCGCCATGGCTTTGTGCGCCCCTATTTTGTCCGCCCCCCATGTAACAAGCAGGTAGACTCGCATCAAGCCCTCACCCGTCACAGCCTGCTGCTGCCCACAGTAGAAACAGACGAGGGAGCGCCGCATTACAGGGGCTTGAGACGCACTGGCAGCTCAAATATATTGCCCGCTCGACTTGGGCAGGCATGGGCCCAGCAGGGCCCGCGCGACACCGTTGCGTCAATACGCGCCAGGCCGGCACAGGACAAACCTGGAAGCGCATGTGCAGATGCTGTACGCATGCAGTCGCACCCAGGTGCCAGATTTTCAGGGCACGCGTCACATACGTCAGGCGGGCGTGCGGCAACGCCTGCGAGCCGTCCCACAAAAACAAGGCTTTGGTGCAGACGCTGGCTTGCGTATGGGCGGTCTAGGCGCCGTATTTTGGGGCGCGGCCAATCTTGTAGGCGATCTCGGGAATCAGCCGATCCGCCATCGTCCCCAGCAGCCCCCCTCTCTCCACGCACTCCGCAAGGCCCGCGCGCACGCACCCATCCACACGCACGACCCCAGGCAGCCGCCGCACGACGAGCGCCGGCCGCCGCGCGTCGGCGGCGGCGGCACCGCTCCCGAGCTGCTGCCAGCTCTGCCGCGGCCGCGGCACCGCGCCGCCGCCTCCGCCACCGCCACCGCCGCTGCCGCCGCCCTCGCTGCCTTTTCGACGCGCCAGCGGGATGCCGCCGGGCGCCAGCAGGCCGGGGCCGAGGTCGGCGCCGGCGGGGGTGAGCACGACGGCCAGGAGGACCGCCTCGCGAAATTCAGGACTGTTGTTGAGGTAACGCAGCACCCTGTCCGCCCACCCCGCCACCGCCCTCGCCGCCGACGCCGCCGCCGCCGCTGGCGCCGCCGCCGCCGCGTCGTCGTGCGGCGGCTCGGTAATCTGGTGTGATCCGGCGGAGATCTGGGGAGATCTGGGGGCGGCTGGGCGGGCGTCTGCGTGGAGGATCACCATGTCCAGCCCAGAATCTGCAGATTTGAGGCCTGTGGGAGGGGGATGGATCGTATCATAATTGTCGATTAAAAAGGGGTGCCACACGCGAAAATTCAGAGCAAGAGCCTCGTGATCGGCGGCTGCTGCGAGAGGAGTAGGGCGGGCCAACGGCAGGGCGCGCTGAGCTGGCGGCCGGGGTGCACGGACGAGCACGAGGGCCGGCTTTCAGCACAACCGCGGGCGCTGGGCCGTCGGGTCGTCCGCCGCGCTGCCTCCGCCCCTGGGGACGTGCCGTCTGGCCCGGCCCCGCCGCGCATCTCATGCCCCAAAGCAACCAGGGCCACCCCTCACCCAGCTCAGCCAGCACCAGCCGCGCCGCCTCCTCCGGGCTGGGCAGCCCCAGATCCTCTCCGCCGCCGCCGCCACCGTCGCCGCCGCCGCCGCCGCCGCCGCTGTTGCCGCCAGCCCCGCCGCCGTCGACCGCCGCCGCGGGCGCCGCGTTGGAGAAGCCGCCGAGGGCTCCGCTGCCGCTGCCGCCGGGCTCATCCTCTGCGGCGGCGTCCAACAACAGCCTGGACGGCTCTGCGCCGGCCGCGGCGGCGAGGGCGACCGCGGCTGGCTGGTTCGACAGGAAGGAAACCGCCATTCCCTGAAACCTGCCGCATCAGAATACGTGGATGAAAACATCAGAGGTCCGAAGTTTGGGGATTTTGAAAGGTTGGATTGGGGTGCGAAAGGACCAGCAACACCTCCTGTGCATGACCCCCTCAAGGCACGGGCTCTGGCCGCCCTGCCATCGATAGTGGCGCCAGGGCGCGGCAGTGCTGCGGCCAACAGCGGCGGCGGCGGTCGACGGCGGCGGCCAACAGCAGCGG